GATTTCTAGTCTAGTCAGTTTCCAGAATTCCCTGTATATTTGACTTTCTGTCCACTACTGACATTACCTCTGAATCCGTGCTCTGGCAAATACTTTCATCTCAAAAAATCACAAAACTTCAAAGCTAACTGAGACTTTAGAGGCCATCTAGTTGGACCCATGTCTGACCATGAATGCCTTGTGCAACATTGCTGATAAGTGATCATCCAGCATTTTGTACCTCTTTTACAGCTTTGGGAATCATTTTTTAAAATGTGGTTTAAAAAAAATCATCACTTTATGGCCAGCCTAATGGTGATCCTCTTTCAAGTTAGGTTGCTAGTTACATTGGCCCATGGACAATAGATATCCAAGAAGTGTCTTGATAGAGGCTAAAATTTTTTTCAAGACTGAAAGAATATTGCCAGAACTAATGATTTTCTGCCAATGTCTACTACAAGTCAAAATTACCTTAATGCCATGATGGGGCACCAGAGGAAGAAATTAGTGCATCAACATTTTGTTAAAAAACAACAACACATTTTCATAAAATCAATTAATGGTGAGATATGCTTATGTTGTTATCTTTTCATTGATATAGTGACATTTATTTTTACACATATAGAGTGTAAAGTCTTTAAGCACCCCATGCATTTTTGTGATCCGGAGTGCCTTGGGGGTAGAACATGCAAGCTGCTTATTTAATTTTTATTATTTATCTTGATGTTTCCTGAAGCCACACATGAGAAGCCATTGTATTTTGATGGTTCTGATTGTGCCTTTCAAACAAGGTGTCTAAGCAGTCCTCATTAAGATCATGCAGCCAGCTTCACATTTGGGAAACATTGTCTCTGTGTAGAGAAGCACATCATTAGTTTATTGATTGAGTCTCTGTGGCAGACATTTGAAGCAATAATAGAAATTATGGTTTCAGATGTTTTATTGGGGGACATGGCTAGATATTTGTGTACATGGGGCTTAAAGGTGCATTTTATTGTTTTTCTTTAAAAATATTGTGATAACTTTATTTTAATATGATTATTTTCCTTGGCTATTCTTTGTATTTAAAAACATTGTTCTGAGACTAGAATACAGAGGCTTCACCAGACTTCTCAAGGGTCCATGACGCATAAAGAACCCTTCATTTAGATTCTCCTTGCAACTGAAATTCAGAGAAGGGAGAAATGAAAGGGGTGAGAGCAGCAAAGGGCTCCATGAAGGAGACAGAGTTTGATTGGGATTTAATGAGTGGGCTGAGTTTTCATAGGTGGGGAGAAGGAAGGGCATGGCAGGGGAGAACAGCAAAGGCACAGGGGTCAGAATGAATGATTGAGGAACACTGATGAGTCTGGCCTGTGACACAGGAATCATGTTGGGGAAACTCTGGGAAATTAGTCTGCTAACTGGTATAGGATCCCTGATTTCATGCGTGTGGACAGGGCAGGACCGAAGTAAGTAAGGCATCTAATAGAAGTTTGTATTTGTTACACTGGGCAAGAAGGAGCCACTATCTATTTAAGAGCAGCAAGGGAATCATTTTCTAAAAGTAGTGTCTTGGAAAGGATAATCTGTAAGCATCTTCCAGCGTAGACTGCAGAGTGGGAGCAGAGAGATAAGCTAGAAGGTTCTTGCAATGATTCAGTGAGGAGGTGATGAGAGCTTGGACTGGTCAGTCAGCGAGCATTTATTAAGTGCTTACTATGTGCCAAACACTGGGTTAAGCATCGGCGACATAAAGAAAGGTAAAACATGGTCCCTACCCTCATTCTAATGGAGGCTGATGGCGTGCTTGGGTGCTTGTGTTTGGGTGCTTGTGCTTGGACCCCAATTTCTCCCTAGCTTCAGAAACACTATCCCTGACAGTTTCTCCCCAGCCCAAGGACCCTATGACTAGCAATTACTCATGAGTGGGCCCCAGCAAGACCCTTATCTTTTTCCCTGGTGCAGTTACAAACAGCACCTGAAGGAATTATTAGTTTGAACTGGCTTTGCACTGGGTCATAAAGACATTCATACCCACTGGACTATACTATCACCCTACCTCATTATCTACATCCTGGGCTCCTCATTAACTGTGTTCTAGACTTAAGACATATGTATACTCCCTACATCTATCTTGTCAAACAAGACATTGATTTGTGGCAGACTGGACAACTCTCAGTTACCTCTGAACTCTAGTTAACTTAATGACATAGCAGGCCTAAAACCTCATCTCCATGTGGCCCCCCTTATGGGCTTTTTCTAGTGAACTCTGGGTAAAATGTCTGCGCAGTAGGTACAAGAAGTGCATGTTCTTTTAAGAATTGACCGCTCCTTAACCACTCCCTAATCCCGCCCTGAATTACCTAGTTAGCATATTTGGCACATGTTTTATTGTATTTTATCTTATATAAACTTTAACTGTACCACTCTAAGATTGCAGGATCCTTAAGAATCCTTGCCCACTGAAAAGCTTAACAATAAACTTTTCCTCTGGATGGAAGAAGATTTGAGTTGAATTCATTCAGGCAGGGCCTGGTGCCTAGATCTCAAAGGGTTCCCAGCAGCACCCCGAAAAGTCCTGTACCTCTTCAGAGACCACATGCAAATACTGCATACAAATAAGATACAGACAGAATTAATTGGAGGTAATCAAGAGAGAAAGGTAATTCACTGCAAGAGGGACAGGGAAAGGCCTTCTGAAGGAAGTGGGATTCAAGGGCAGCCTTGAAAGAAGCCAGAGTAGCTTGTAGGCAGAGATGATGGAGAGCATTCTAGACATGGAGAACAGCCAATAAAGAAGCAATAGAAGGAGGCATGGACCAGAAAAGACAGAAGGATACTGGGAGATTAGAGCCAGGTTCTTCTGAATTCCAGCACTCTCAAATTACTTAGGCCTCTCTTGGGCCCAGTTTATTCACTGATAAAATTAAGGGTTTGAACTAGATTAAGTGTCTCCTATTTGAAACTTCAGAGCCTCTCAACTCCCATTGTCTCATATTTATTTTACAATTTTGCAGACATCTTGTATACAATTATAAGTGTGCATATTGTCTATCTCAATAAAATAGAAAATCTTTCAAGACAGGGACTTTTCATCTTTTTATTTGAATCTCTAGCATCTCCCTCATTACCTGGATCATATAAGACATCCAATAAATGCTTGTTGATTGATTTAGAGTCAGAAATACTAGGTATGAATCCTGAACCTGCCTCTCACTTCCTTGTGTGACTCTGAGCAAGTCATTTAATCTTGTTGAGTTTCAGTCAATCAGTCAGTCAACAAGCATTTAAGTGCTCACTGTGTCCAAAAGTTTTAAGGATACAAAGAAAAAGAAAAAAAAGTTATTTTCCATTACTTTCTAATGGGGGAGAATTACCATGGACATGGATAGAAAAATATATAAGATATTTAGAGAAGAGATAGAAGCTTACCTCAGAGGAGAAGCCTCTAGCAGCTGGTGGGGTTGGGTGGGAAGGGGGAGTCTGGGGGAGGAAGGACCCAAAAGAGACCTCTTGCAGAAGATGGAGTCTTGAAAGAAGGCAGAGATTCTAAGAAAAGGAGATGAGGAGGGAGTATATTCCAAGCATGAGAGACGGCTCATACAAAGATGAGGGGAGATGGAACAACATGGAGACCACTATGGATAGACCCTAGAATTCATGGAGTAGAGTTGGAGTGAGAGCTTCCAGTGTGGGGAATAGGAATAGTTCAGTCTGGTTGGAGTGTAAAGAGTGTGGAGGGATTGGGGGCAGCATGGACATGAAAAGGAAAGGGGGAGAGGGTCTTTAAACACCAGGAAGATGCATTTCTATTTTATCCTAGAGGTAATAGGGAGCCACTCAAGTTTGTTGAGTAAAGAGATGGTGTGCATGATCACAGTCCTAATTCTGGAGGTGTGGTCCTTTCTGCATGGCTGACAGAAAAGGCCTTAGGGAACTATTTGCTCTGTGAGAGATCAAATACGTTTAAAGAGCATAGTCTCAGTTTTGTTTCTTTCATTTGAAATGATTGAGAATTATTAGAGCATCATCCTTCAGATCTGAGTATGTTATAAGAAGGCTAGAAAACCTTATTAATTATTATTTATTGATTTGTTGGGGAGGGAGGAGGAGCAGACCATAGCTTATTCTTCATTGTTTTCATTTGTGGGAATGGAATTCAGCCTGGATACTTCCAGGCAGGCAAATCTGGCTGAAAACTTGGCTCTGCTGTAGTGAGATTATTCAGCATGTCTGCTATTATGGTTTCCTGAAGATGTCCTGTTTATTCCAGCAGATTGAACCTTTTCACTTCGGCTCAATTAATGGATTTTTATTATCCTCTTCAGTTCCCCCCTAGGGCTATGGTTTTATGATTAGCGGTGAGCAAATAGAGAATGCCAGTGGATACTATTCAAAGGGCAAAACTGGAATGAATGAAAAACAATTGTCCTGCAGAAATTAAACACAAGGGTTGCTTTGCCCTCAACCCTTCATGTCTGCTTATTAGAACTGCCATGACAAGGACAAGTAAGATAATATGAAAACCAAATCGTTATGGCAAGCACATTAAGAGATAATACAAGGATTTATTAGGGAAATATTTCTCACCCGGAAGGCCTTTGGAAACAGCAAAAATTAATAGAAAATGTCCTGTCAAATGGCATCAACTCCCCATGCATGGCCAGTCATTGAAAAGATACTCAATACAATTTGACAGGCATTAATTAAGCACCTACTGTAATACATGAGGTATGGGGCCAGGTGCTAAAGACACAAAAACGAAAGCAAAATGGTTTCTCTTGTAAAAAAGCTTATGTCCCTCTGGAGGGGATAACAGGCACACATTAGGTACATTCACAATAATTACAAGGTACCTGGGGGGATGTTTGGGAGTTGGGAGGCATGAGGAGCTACAGTGCCAAGGATGGCTTCTTGTAAGAGTGGCATAGGAAAATAGCTTTAAGTGGAATTTGTGATTCTGAGAATCACAGTCGGTGAGGGGGTACATCCCAGGCCAGGGGCACAGTCTATGCAAAGACACTAAGGCAGGACATGCCATGTTGAGTACGAGCAATATCAACAAGGCTGCATCCTTCAAGGAGCGGAGTGAGTGCAGACAAGCGGGCTCTACTCAGCACGTGCAGACTCGTTTTCCTAGCAAAACACAGATCAGTTCTGGAAACAAATCACATGGTACAAAGGAGCACTGCAGTTATTTTGGGTTTATCCATTATTTCAGATCACCCATGCATGCTACTATTCCCTGCCTCGACCAGGAATAATTGAGACTGTTAATTACCATAATATGGGGCAGCCAGGTGGTACAGTACAGAGTGCAGGGCCTGGAGTCAGGATGACCTGAGTTCAAATCTGGTCACAGACACTTACCAGCTATATGACCCTGTTTGCCTCAGTTTCCTCATCCATAAAATGAGCTAGAGAAAGAAATGGCACATTGCTCTAGTACCTTTGCTAAGAAAGCCCTAAATGGGGTCACGAAGAGTTAGACATGACTGAAATAACTGAGCAACAATAAATTGTAATAATAGCTAACATTTAGAAAGCTCTTAATATGGGCCAGGCACTGTAATAATGATTGCATCATTTGATCCTCTACGACTATGGGAGGTAGGTGCTAATATTAAATAGTTATAAATTAGATATAGATGACACATGTATATGTATATGTATGTGTATGTGTATATGTATATGTATATGTATATGTATATGTATATGTATATGTATATGTATATATATGTATATGTATATGTAAATGTATAGGCAGCTAAGTACCTGATCCATTACTTTATCCACTGAACCACTTGGCCATATCTGTATCTACATCCTTATTCATATCTATATATAATCTACATCTATATTGAATGAAAGGTAAAATGCTTGCCTATATAACCAATTATTTCTTTGAATCTTTTACCCAAGTGCTCCTTTTCTAAATTTACCTTTGGTAATTATACATTCCACAAGGTACTGTGTCTTATGACCCAAAATCTTCTACACTTATCAAACTCCCAGCCATATCCATCTCTCCCATCCCTAGGAATCATGAACAAGTCCTAGGCAGCCTACCTTTTAAAAACGTTAATGTTATACATTTATATACCAGAGTTTTAACCATATTTTTGCATAATAAACTTATGAAGTAGGTTATACAATTATTGTTATGGATTTATAGATAGTCATTATCACCATAATAATAATTATTTTTAGCAGTTATATCCAAAACTGTGAGGTTATTATGCCTATTATAGACATATGGAAACAGGCTGAGAAGTGAAGTGAGTTACTCTGGGCTGCACAGCTACTAAGTGTCTGAGGCAAGATTCTATTGCAAGTATTTCTGTCTCCAAGTCTCCAAGACTAGTGTTCATTGCTCTATGCTACCATGCTGCCTCCAAAAGAGAAAACTGAAGCTCAATTAGAGGGGTTAGAACTGAGATTCTAATCTCAGCTTTCTAACTCCAAGGTCAATGCTCTTTCCATTGCCCCATGGTGCTGCTCCATTATTGCATAGAGTCTCTATTAGGGTTCATCAGATATAGGGTTGGAGGGAAACTTAGAAGTTATCTAATTTTTCATATGAGGAAATTGAGGCCCAGAGAGGGGATATGACTTAACAGTTTTGATATTAGGTTGTAACAGGTCCTCTAACCTGAAATCCACTGTTCTTTTCACTTCATCAATCTGCCTTTCCTGTGTACTTGTGGTATATTCAGTGTAATTTGCAAGTTAGATATTGGAAGTCCTTTGCAAAAATACTGATTCTGAAGTGTAGTATGCCCAAAATGAGTGTATCTGATATTTTCTGCTAGATGAGCCTCCTTCCTTTATTGAGAGCATCAATATTATTATTTAGATCTTTTGAAATTTCTTTCATGATTTCCTTCCTCTTACTATAACATTGGTTGATGTCTTTAGTCATCATTTCCTCCTTCCTTCCTGTCTGCAAGGAAGAGATGATTCTTCTTTTGGCCAAAACTAACAGCTTCATCTAATTACTTGATTCTATTTTCTTTTGGCTCCTTCAAGGAATTGATCCACTTCTCTCTCTCTCTCTCTCTCTCTCTCTCTCTCTCTCTCTCTCTCTCTCTCTCTCTTTCTCTTTTCATTGCTGGTTTCTCTTCATCCATTGGCTCTTTTCTTTTCCTACAAACAACCGTTGGCATCCTCTGCTCCAAATAACTCTGCATTTGCTTCTCAACCACCCTGCTCCTCTAGCTACCATTTCATGCCTTTCAGGGTAAAATTTGAATGAGTAGTCTGCTTTCTTTCCTCTCAGTTTCTCCTCAGACCTTTGTAATTTGACTTCTATCCTAGTCTCTTCACTGAAACTCTTTTCTCAGATCAGCAACGATCTTTTTTCATTTCTTTTCCTCTTTTATCTCTATGTAGCAGTTGACATGAATGGTCACTCTGGAATTCTCCACTCCCTCCGCTTCTAGAGTGGCATTCTCTCTTTGACTTTCTTTCTCATTGGTTTGCTTCTCTTCATCCTTTCACTCTATTAACATAAGGATTCCCCAAGAACCTGTTTTTAGCCTTTTTAAACGTACACTATTACACCTTCACCCATAGCGTTATCATGCATTCTGAGATTCATTAACATCTGTTTCGTGAATGAGAATGTGTACTAAAAAGGAGTACATGGTCCCTAGGTTTTTATACCATCATTCTTAGTTCTTTCTCGAGATCCAGGTTAACATTTCCTACTGATTCCTGGAACTCTCATCATTGTCCTAGATGTACTTTGGGTCCAAGATGTCTAAAATTGAATTTACCATTTCTCTACAGACCCCTGTTACTCTTTCTGACTTCTCTTTTTCAGTGTCACTGCTATTTTCCTTGTAACTCAAGGTCAAACACTGGAGTCACCCTTTAGTCCTTCCTGTCTTTCATCCTGTATACCCAGTCACCAACTCCTGACATTTTTACCTCTGTAATATCTCTCAAATTCATACCCTTATAATCCCAACTGTCCCTATTTAGTTGAGCCTTCAATACTTCTCTCTAGGGCTATTATGGATACTTCCATAAAAATCTCCACACTTTCAACCTCTTCTGCAAGACAGCTTAGATACCAGTGAAATTCTTTTTCCTGGTTCATAGGCATGATTAAATTCTTCCATTATTCAAATGATTCTCCTTTGTCTGATAAATAAAAACTGGCTCTTATATCTTGATGTTCAAAATCTTCAAAAATTCAACTTTTGCCTATCTTTTAAAATATTTTTTCAATTAAAATCTATTTTTCTCCCACTAGTCGCCTCCCTCCCCAATGAAAAAAATCAAACACAATCAGTGTAATAAATATTGATAGTTGAGCAAAACAAATACTCATATTAGCCATGTCCAAATAATCTATCTATCTATCTATCTATCTATCTATCTATCTATCTATCTATCTATCTATTATCTATCTATCCATTGTTATCAGCATATAAAGGTTCTTCTGGTTCTGCTCATTTAATTCCCATGTTTCTCTGAAAGCATTCCTTTCACCATTTACCTTCATATACGATAATTTAGCTAGCCATTCCCTAATTGATGGTCACTCTTTTAGTTTTCAGTTATAAGACCTATGTCAAAAAAGCTATATAGTCTCCTTATCCTTCCAGATTCACTAATCAGATTCAAATTTGCATCATTTATTTCTGTACTTGTCTCATCTATTTTACTACATTTTATGTTTTCTTGAGTAACAGCAGTATGCATTAATCCTCAAGGATCTAGCACAGTTCCTTGGATAGGCAATTAATAAATGCTGTTGTTGAATGACTGAATATCACATATCAAGGCAGTTCGATATAGTGGAAAGAGTCTTTGACTCTTAGAATCAAAAGTTCTGTATTCAAGTGTGAGGTTGAACAACTCACTTCATCAATCTGGGCCTCAGTTTCTTTTTCAGAAAAATGAGGGTGATATAGTATAAATATTTATATGATTTTAAATAAAATGCAATTATAGTTATAGAACAAAACAAGCAATAATTAATTTATATTGTTTGTTGAAAATAAAGTATTACTATTATGAAATTTAGAGCAAGATTTCAAGAAATAGAAACACATAGGAGCAATAAGGTGTTGTAGCTTTGTTTATTAACTTTTAAATAATCACAATTACTGCTTAATTTAATTCTGTTTTTAGTGAAACTGAGTGCATTTAATTAATGATGAATCAGTCTCTCATTACAGTGAACCCTGAATCCATTTTTAGCTCTGAAACTTTCAGTTTCTTTAGTGTTCAAAATCCTTGCAAACTTTTTCTTTTCCATAGTTTTAAGTCTCCTGATAAATTACAATATTGCTTGTGGTTGTTTCTACTAATTATAGGAATGTCCTCAGATTCCTCTGCTGATTTGCTTTATTTTTCCTTGAGAGAACTTTCTTTTTCCTTTCATAATCTAAACACCTTTTGAAAGAAAATAATCACAGTCAAAAAAATTTTACATTACCCTGTCACTATATTTTTCTAATATTTCTTTCTTAACATGACTCTTTACCTGCTAAACTCCCAGCCTTTAAAGATCTGATTAAAAAAAATACCTACTTTGTATGAAATACTAGGAAAAATTAAACTCACATTTACTAAGCATCAGCTATATACAGTGAGCTAGGTGTTGTGGTATTGTGAAAAATAGAGATATTTGACATGGTATCAGTTCTCAAGAAACAAACTTTAGTAACTTTTACCCATTCTAACACTATTATTCTCATTTGCTATTCTCACAGCAGTTCTTGGAGTGACTATCTACCTTCACATAAACTCCACAAATTATTTTGAAGTATATTCACAAAAGAAATAGTGGTTTTATTTCTATATATGTTTGTGTCCTTAATTTATTTTTCTTTTACCCAGAGGACACCAGTGGAAGAAAATAAATACTGGGTGAGATGAACAGTATTTCCCCCAATAGGCCAAAGAGAATAACTAACTGATTTATCTAAATACTGATCCCAGAACTACAATTTTTTGCTTCTTTATGGAAAACAGAAATACTGTTAACTATTCAGTTTATTGACTTCCCTTAATTCCAGAGGAGTAAACAAACCGAATAAAATGAATTCTGAACAACTTCTAATATTATGTGAATCCTGCATTATTACAACAGTCTCTGCTGGTGAAAAGAAATATATTATTTTAATCCATTAAGATGGCAACAATTGGAAGATCCAATC